AAATTCTTTCTTGTTTTGACTCCTAATTGTTCCACAGTCCCTTTTGCTACTCTTTTTATTTAAATATTGGACTCTTCAGATATCTGTCCTGCATTCTTGTTCTTTTTTTTTTCTGTACATACTTCTTGGAGAATATTTTCTGTTGTCCGTGGTCTTGAGTTGTCTAAGGCTAATAGATTTATATTTCACCCCCTTCTTTCCAGACTTCCAAATGTAGATATATATTGCCTATCTTCTGAATAGGCACTGTAAATTAAATATTCAAGTTAAATTTCCTTTCTGTATTTCTCTCTGTATTTCTGAACTCAATTAATGGCCTTGTTGCCCAAATCAGTAAGCTGATTAAGGACTTTTGAAATTATTGGAGTTATTCCTCACATATTCAGTCACTAAACTTCACTACCTTCCTTTTAAAATATTTTTGTAAATCTGTCATCCTTAAAAAGATTAAATTTTCACCTAAGTATTGCAAAATCTGGCTAATATGCTCTACTATAAAACTTACCCCCCCATCCTCTCTAATGCCATTAAAATTATTTTATGACAGGCAACAAAAAACAAGAACAAAACATAATCAATTTACTTTTCTTCTAAAATATTCTGAGGGTGGTACTGTTTATAGGCATAGATGTTCCACTGAACTAATTTTTCCAATGATGTGGAGAATGTGGACATAGAATTGACCCAGATACTGATTACCCTATGTGCTCCTCTCTAAACTTAAAAACCTAGCTGGTACAATTTATGACACCTTTATGACCTGGTGCTCAATCAAAGGACCACTCCCATGTTTCTGTGAGGGTGAAAAAATTAATGAATTTAATCACTAGATAACAAATACCTTTGTGAGTTGGACAGATTCCAATATTTTGTTTTTAAACCCTTTTACCTAATTAACTATTGAAAATAATTTTAGTGATCTGTGACATAAAACTTAGAAGGGTTTTTAGGAATTGAATGCCAAGGTATAATATAATTCCTTTTATACCTATTTGTATATTAATGATCAAATCTTCAAGATTTATACCTTTAAAAAAGCATACTTTTGATGCTTATTCAACCAATAAAACATTTTATTCATGAATATATAAAGGAAGTATAAAAATCTAAGTTATTAAAGAATATAGTTCACTTAAAGTTTTGTCATTTTAAATAATTCTTAATGGAAATATTTAAATCTTAATATTGTATACTAACACTATAAATTCATCCTAGAAGGAAATCCTACATATAGCTTATGAACAGAGAACAATTTTGAAACTGATAAAGAATTGTGATATGATAAACTATAAAAATATTCTGAGCCAGTCCTGGCGGTACACCTGTAATCCCACCACTTGGGAAGCTGAGGCAGGAGGATCACTGTGAGTTTGAGGCCAGCCAGGGTACATAGTGAGTTGAAGGTCAGCCTGAACTGGATAGTGAGATCCTGTCTCAAAAAAATTTATATTCTGGGTTAATATGCTATTAGGAGAATAATTCTGAAGAAAAAATAGGTACAAATATGAAATCAAGTGCAAAAATGCATGATATAAAATTTCTAACAACCATAGAAAAATTTTTTCATATATTTTTGAAATAAAAGTGATTTTTCATATTAACTTTAATACTTGAAATTAATTCAACGTATTTGTTTTATTCTTAAGTATAGCGTTATTTACAAATCCATAGAAAATATTTCTTTTGCTACTTACATGTACTATGAAAATTTAAGACATCAAAATAATTTTAAGGTCTTTATCAAGTTAAAAAAAAATCCAGGCTCCTGAACCATAGAACCAAATCCAATTCTTTATGTAGGTACACAAAACCACCTTGTTATCATCCTAATCTCTTGTCCCACCATTTATGTCTCCTGGTCTAGCTATGCCTGACTGTTCACTGTGGTGTCACTGGTCTCACTGATTTACTTTATTCTGCTTGCAACCATGTTTCTACTCTTTTCTTACTACTCAGATATTTTATGTCACTTTGACACCAATCAGAATGACACAGCCACTATCACATTGTAGATTCCCGTTAGTGAGACTAGCTATCACTTGTAGAATGCATGAGATGTACCAGGCATGCTTTGTACTTTGCAACTTCTCTGATCATCATTGCAACCCTCACAGAGATATAGCTGTATGGTTGAGAGGTCTGAGAACTTACCTAAAGTCAAAAGGGACATTAGCCTTGTTGATTAAAACCTACCTAACCATGTCCAATGCTTATGGTGCCTTCTCTCTCTGTGAAAGAGAAAGATTTCTAAAAAGTAGATAGGTTTTAAATACAGAATATCCTCAGATTATTACTTTTGCTTTGGATCAGTCAGTATTAAAAAGTATTAAAACTAACATGTTCATTTCTTGATTCCATTTAGCTTAATGGCATAACTATGTGCATCCTAAAATTATCCTTGGCCTTCTTCTAGATGGGGTTCATAAAGATTTTAGGCTGTGCCTGATGTATCTCATGCATTCAAAAAATATCAGTTATTTTTATAAAAATCCCACGCTTTGAAAAAATGGCTGTAAATAAAGCTATTTTGGTTCTATTGAGTAGGGTCAATGAGACTTCAATCCCTACACGTGTAATTCACTGAGACTGCCAGTCATTTCTTTAGTATTTCCTGATCACTACCATACATGTTAATACTTGTAAGATTTCTGCTAAAGAAAAGCGCTAGAAATTACTGCAAAATGTTAAAGCAAATTGAAAAAAGTAGGTTGGGAAGGCTGCATTCAGTTTGATTCACTAAGAAGGCAGAAGCTACTGGATCAATGACTACCTTCAACAGTCAGACTTAAGATTATCTCAAGATGTCACACTATTAAGCAAAGAGCAAAGGTGTGTAACAATTTCTGGAAACAGAAAGGAGTGAAAGGAAATTGGACTTTTGCTAACTTGTTCAGTTATTCAGAAAGTAGGCATTCTTGACACTTAAAAGGGATTGTGACTAAAAGTTTATTGCTTAATCTAACAGATGCTACTGAGAAATCTTAATTCCAATCATATTTAATATTTACTAAGAATATATTTTAATAATCATTAAAATGTACTTTTAATTACTAGTAGCACACAGACTATATATATTTGTGTGTGGGAGATATATATATATATATATATATATATATATATATATATATATATATATATAGTAAGTTCTTTCCTAATAGAAACAAAAGATAAAATTGCTACATACTTCATTACAACAGTCATTATACCTTCTACATTTTATTTAATGTCTTGCTTTTAAAACCAAAAGGGAAGAATATTAGGATCTCCATAAATAATTTATGTGATTGTAAGGCCCAGACATGGAGAAAATATAAACAAGTACTTATGACTTCATGAGGATTACTGTTATATGCTACTGAAAAGATGGGAATGTAAACTCAGTGTAATTTCACCATCCTTACAGTTTTGGTGAGCTTTCTGGTCACTGGAACACAATACCCAATATTTGCAACTTAAAGGAGGAGAGGTTTGGCTCACAGTTTCAGTGGGTTTAATCTGCAACTGTCTGGATCCAAGGCAGAAACAGGATGGTGGAACGGCCTAGCAGAAGAAAGTAAACAGCCCCAGTGGCCAAGAAGCAGAGAGGAAAAGGAGGATTTGGGAAAAAGAATGCACCTTCCCAGATCAAGCCCTCTATGAACAGCCTCTTCCTACCAGACTTCACTCCTAACACCACATTCATCCATAAAGTAATCAATGGATTAATCCACTTATGCATCCAATGCCCCCATTACCTTATGAGAGCCCCACCTCTGATTACATGAGATTTTTAAGGGATATTTTAGATCTAAACCATGACACCCACAAAAAGAATATTTCAGAATATGCAATTGAAGGTGAGATTTGCAAAAGGAATTGGAGAATGACAATTGCTGTAAACATTGAAATGAAAACAGTTAGAAATTCACAATTTAGCATAGTTGTGGCCGTTAATATTGGTATGTCAGTTTGAATGGATTAGTGTACTTACAGAGGCTCTAGTGTATCTGTGGATGATCGACATGTAGGCCAGCAAATCAAAGGGGAAAGACATATCCTATACGGATGTGGATGTGTCACCAACCAATAGACTGAACAGAATATAATGAGAAAGAAGAAGAAGAATGCTCAGCCTGAAAATGTATCTGCTTTAAGTGAGGACACTGATTCAAGAAAAGATGTTTTCTTATAAATTGAGGTGAAAATGTTTAAGAAAATCCTGACAAGGCTAGGACATTGAACTTCTAAATCCTGATGAGGTTATTTTGCTAGAGGAAGAGATTTCCCTACTCTCAGTGGCAGAGCCCCCCCCCCCCCCACTATGTGTGGTGTTGACCTCTCCACCTGTACTTGAGGAAACTAATCCTGTTTCTCTTAGAAGCAGCAATGACCATTTTTTGATGCATTTACCAAAAAACACAATGCCAACACTCCTCTAGACTGAGACTCACTACCAACTTTTGCCTGTAGGCCTATGACCAGGCCCAAACCTCAGAAGGCTCCTAAAAGTGTGTTACACAGAATGACCCACGAAGAGGTATACTAACCCCCCCGCCCCCCGCCGCCAATTCTAAAGTATTCTAATTCTTACAAGCAGAGGTCTGGGGAATATGTATGGGAATAGATTATAAAAGTATGGGACAATGATGGAAGAAACATAAACTTGAATCAAGCTGAATGTCTTGATATGGGCCTACTCAGTGAATTTGGATTTAATACTTCAATTTAGAAAGTTAAAAAAAGTTGCCAGTAATTCATTTGGTTGGTTGGCTGAAATATAGATTGAAAGACGCCTCACTAAAATGAGCTGGAGATGCCTGATATTCTTGGCTTACCATTGATAAGGGCATTCAAAGACTGAGGGAAATGAGAATGCTAGAGTGGACTTTCCAGGTCAAACCTACTCCTTCACCTTGGGAGAGTCCAGAAAATCAACCCTTTATTAATACCTTGAGAAACAGATTTGTGAGTGGAACCTCAGCATCTTTGAAAAGTTTTGTCATCGCTCTTCTCTCTTATAGACCTCATGGTGGGGACCACAGTCACCCAATTGGGAATCTTAAATGTGATGTGTACAATCAGATTCCAGAGCAGCCAGGACAAGTGGGAACTCTCAACTTCCAACAACAAGGTGGGTGTACATGCTGTAATGAAAAGTGAAGCAAAACAATGATTGGAATGGTCAGATACATATAGACCCTATGGCACTGAATAGTTAATCATGGTGTGCCTAGAAGTGAAAGAGATAGGATGCCTGTTTATTTTTTTTTTTTTTACCAGGTTTATGTAAGTTGAAAATTTGGGGGCCAAATGAACAAAAAGCTACTTTAAATTGCAGCAACGGGAAATTACAGCTCTTCGACCAATTTCTAGACTTGAGCCAGTTTACAGACTCAGAACCTCTTGAATGAATGGGATACCAGTCCTTTTGAGTCAGGACCATGGTGCACTATAAAAAGTTGTATTTTTAATCTTGCTTCCAGCCTTCCCCAAAGGGACCTACTACCTATGACCAAGGTAACCATACATAAGAAAAAGGAAATCATCTCACATTGCAGGGACTACCGAACGCTAATTCTGAACTAATGTTGACTGTAGGAGATCTGAAAAATCATTGAGGTACTTCAGTAAGAGTAGGGGCACATGGAGTTAAGGTCCTTAATTGTGTTTTAGCCACAGTCCAGCTCATAGTAAGACCAGAAGGTCCCAGAATCCATCCTGAGGTCATTTTCCAAGTGCCAGAATGTGTAATTAGGATAGATATAATTAGTACTTGGCAGAATCCCCATATTGGTTCCTTCTTCTGTGATGTAAGGGCCATTATGGTAGGAGTGGTGAAACTGAAGTCATTATAGTTGTCTCTACCTATGAAAATAGTAAATCAAAGAAAATATCACATCCCTGGAGGGATCACAGAGATTAGTTCCATCACGAATGACCTGGAAGATGTAGGAGAGATGGTTCTCACCACATTCCAATTTAACTTTTCTCTTTGGTATGTGCATAAGATGGATGGATATTAGCAAATTATGGTGTATTACTGTACACTTATTCAAATGGTAACTCCAATTGCAGTCACTGTACCAGATTTAGTTTCCATGCTTCAGCAAATGAACACATCTACTGGTACTTTGTATGCAGCTATTGATTTGGCAAATGCCTTTTTTCCATACATATTCATAAGGCCAACCAGATTCAATTTGCTTTAGCTAGCAAGGCCACCAATCTCGGTGACATTGCAATTTTCCACACCTGGGAACCAAGACAAGAGAAGGTACTGCAACAAGTCCAATGAATATACTTCACAGAAAAAGAAATGAAGCAATGGGCGTGTGCTCATGAAATTCACTGGGCTCACCATATTCCCCTCTATCCAGAAAGCAGATGGAATGATAGAAAGGTGGAATGGCCTTTTTGAAGATGAATTTAAAGTGTCAGCTAATTGGTAAGACCTTGAAGGGTAGGGGCAAAGTTGTCCAGAAGACTATATATGCTCTAAATCGGGCTCCATTATGTGATAGCAATTTCTCTCATAGCCAGGATTCATGGATCCAGAATTCAAGGGGTGGAAATGGGAATGATACCACTCATCATTATCCCTAGTGACTCACTAGAAAAAATTTTGCTTCCTCTTCCCATGACGTTATGCTCTGATGGCTTAGTTCTGGAGGGTGGGAAGGCTTCTACTAGGAGGGAAAATAATAACCTATTGAACTGGAAGCTAAACCTTCCCGCTGGTCATTGTAGTCTCCTTAGCCCTGGAGTTAACATGTTAAAAAAGAAGTTACAGTGTTGGTAAGGATATTGGATTTATACTAGCCAAGGGTAATAAGACTACTTCTCCACATGGAGGTAAACAACCATATGTTTGGAATCCAGGATATCCCCTAGGATATCTCCTAGAATTACCATGCCTTGTTATTAAGTCGATAAAAAAACTCCAACAATCCAATCTATAATAAACGTCCCAGTACCTTCAGGAATGAAAGTATAGGTCACCCTACTGGGTTAAGAACCAAGACCTGTTGAGATGTTTGCTGAAAGTCAAGAAAATTCAAAATGGGCAGTAGAAGAAAGTAGTTAAATATCAACTACAGATATGTGACCAGTTTATAGACATGAAGATTGTAACTGTGCTAAGTATTTCTTTTCTATGGTTCGTATCTTTGTACATATATGGTATACACATATGCTAAACACATGTCGTGTTTTTTATATATAAAATAATTACATCATGATATTTAGTTTATGACACATCAGGAGGAGAGAAAGCATCACTCAAAACATCTCTGCCTTCTATTCTGGGGAGGGAATTAGTACATATCTTTATGTCTGCAGGAAAGTTGTATCATGTTAGGTATCATTGTGAACTTGCTATTGTAGCTGAGGATTAAATATGGTTTAAGGAGATATATTTAGTTGTCAAGTTGACAAGGGGTGGATCATGAGCACTACTCATGGCATGTCGCTTGAATGGTTTAAGCAGATTAGTGGAAAACAGTTTGGAGTGTATCTGTGGATAAGTAAAATATAGGACAGATAAATGAAGGGGGAAGATCCACCCAGACGTGCGTGGCACCGACTAATAGGCTTGTGGCTTGGATGGGATTAAAATGGACAGAAGAAGGAAGTGTACTCATTTTGGAAGAGCTCCAGTCTTTCCCATTGCTTTTGAACTTCAGTCTCCAGTTTCTTCAGCCATCCAATACAGACTCACACCTACAGCTCTGTAGTGACCTTCCAATTCTTCTGCTTTGGACTGGCTCTGCATCCTCTTGTTCTGTGGCTTCTGTCTTCTTGAGCCAAGCAGCTATGGATCCTCTGACTCTCTGGGAGCAGATGGCCATCATGGATTATCCTCCCTACGATTCTGCAGAGGACCACTGTGAACTCTTTACTCTCTGATCCTGCAGACAGACTTTGTAGATTCACCCTCTGACCCATTGACTCTACTTAATAAATCTCTTTGCATAATTATACCTATATTTGTATTGATTCTGTTCCTCAAGAAAACCATAACTAATACAAGATAGTACCCTATTTATGAATTCCATGTCTGTGCTTCTCATTTAACATACAAATGCCAGTTGTGTTAGTACTTTACTGCCCAGAGCCTAAAACTGCCTTTTTTAAAAAAAAAAATCAGCAATCTGTGACATTTACTTAAAATAAAACAACATGTTTGTCCATTCTCAAGGGAGCATATGGGGCATGTATATATACATATATATGCCATCCAGAGTTCATTCTCACAGAGAGAGCCCTTAAAATTATATGCAAACATTATCTGTTTTAGAAAATTTCGGTAAACTATAAACAGTTTGAAAAAGAAGGAAAAAAGTATTTGGAAAAGTTATTTTTGTGTTTTAATGTGTACCCTTCATAGTAAGTAGTGACTTGGTTTGTGAATTGATTCCTTAGGGTCATGGCTTATTTCTTTTTTTTTCATTTTGTAGCAAAATATGAATGAAATAAAATTTACAATTTTAACAATTTTATGAATACAATTCAGTTGCATAAAGTACCATCACACTGTGCAACCATTATCACTAATCATCTTACAAAAATAAAACGTTGTTCCTATTAACAATATTTTCTCACTCCCTTTTCTCTTAGCCCCCCTGGTAATTATTATTCTATCTTCTTTTGCTATGCATTTATCTACTCTACTCTAGATAACTATATATAAGTGAAATAATGCAATATTTGTCCTTTTGTGACAGGCTTATTTCATTGATTAATGTCTTCAATGTTCATTTGTGTTACAGCATGTATCAAAATTTTCTTCTCCTTTAAGTTTCAATAATATTCTATTTTATATTTACACTGAATTTTTTATCCATTCATCCACTGATGGACATTTGAGTTGCCAAACATTTTATGTGTAATGCTGCTACGAACATGGTTATATACATACTTGCTCTTGTCCCTCCTTTCTTATATAGAAAAAAATGGAAATTTGGGGTAATAAGGTAGTTCAGATTAATTTTTGGAGAAATTACCATACCATCCAAGTTTATTTTTGTTCAAAGTAATCTATAGTCTTTTTTGCATTATTTTCCATTTTGTTCTCTTTATAGACACACACACACACACACTTCCTCTCCTTTTTATTCGGATTGCCTTTAGCAGTGGAGAGTCATTATGAAGCCCATTAATCTTCATTTTTCACAGCAAGATTCATTTTATAGGACTGGAAGATGCAGAAATGAAACCACACAGCACTTCGTCAGCAGCCAGGATTTCTGAATGTGATGCCGACTGAAAATTAAACACAAGAGACCAGATAGCAGCTCTAAGAACTCACTAATTTCTAAATAAATCAACTGAGATTGATGGATCTGAAAACAGTTTTCTCTAACAAGGGAGACAGTGCAGGGTAGTAATATTTACCTCAAATATGCTTTGCATGAGGGATTAGAATTCCTGAAAGCCTCTCATTTTCCCATCAGAGAATTTGTTTCTTCTATCAGTCAAATGGTAGTTAATTATCATATTTCAAGGAGCAGCTCATTAATTCATTAACTAAAAATAACTAGATATTTATGGAGGAAGATAACACATAATAACAGATCACTTGAACAGCTCTGCCGATGTAAGTTGTCTTCCAATTTCATGAAAGTTTCAGGAGGTGATTTCATCCTAAAAGTTATACCACTTGTTAATTTCCACTTCAAGAATTAAAGAAATTTTGAATTTTGGTTTGAAACAAATTTAAAACTTCATCTCCAGGGGAAATTCTTCTCTCTCCAGTTGATCAATTTTTTTGGCTGTTGTGCTGACAAAGAAAGTTATAATCAAGGGAATAAGAGACTGGTGAGTGAAGAAATAAAGCATTAAAATGCTAGGTAGGTCAAGGACTTTCAGGAAGGGACTAGAGAAAAAGAAAAATGGTCTTAGAGACCTAGGATCCTTCTTTTCTCTCTTCAGTGACAAAATATGCCCCTAACTTCAGGAAACAAAAGTGATGCTGTCATGAAGTTATTAAGTCTTTTACACTTAAAATATTAATGATTAAGAATATTCTGATTCCTTTTCATTCTTTCACTATAAAATGTTTACCAAAGAGTATAAATGATATTCATATTTATGATAAATTAAAGAAAGTGATTTGACAAATATAGGCATGTA